ATTTGATGACTTGTAATTTTATGGTTTCCACTCTTTTTGATGAAAACATGGAATGTGTTGTGGCAACTAACTCAAACAAATCCACGAATTGTTGTGCTGATTTTCCTTTGATCGATCCACCAGCAAAGGAATCCGCCTAAGATTTTTCAGTGGTGAAAGTCTGGTGTAGAAGCATTGCACATGATTACCTATGATGATCTCATGATTTGGACACTTTCTCATTAACTACTTGAATCTATTCCATGCCTCGTGATAGCTCTCCCCATCTTTTTGCCAATCTAATTTTTTCTAGGTTTGCCAGTGGAAAAAAGTTGTTGCAGAATTTTCTCGTCAGTTCCTCCCATGTAGTAATGCTTCCATTAGATTCAACATCTAACCATTCCAATGCAATATCTCGCAATGTATAGGGAAATAACCCCAGGTTGATAGCGTCTTCATTAATAAAGCATGAAAATTCTAGCAATTTCTNNCATGAAAATTCTAGCAATTTCTGAAAAATCTGGATATATGTGTGTTCGGATTTTCATGAGTTAAGCCATAAAATTGGAGAGTGTTGCTGGTCAAGTTGATCCAATCTGCCTTTACCTCAAAGTAGTTCACCCCAAAATCTTGATATACTATACTGGAGTGTGCGGATGCTGCTGTGGGCGTAAAAAGCATTGAAACTGACAAGTCCCCTTCATTTATTTCCTCTTGGTCATATTGTTGATCCAGTGGTGCCACTACTCTCTCGATAACTTGTCTAATTGGTTGTATAGGAATACAAATGTATATTTTGATCGTTAGCCATTTGATATTGTTGTTATTGTTTGTGTTCTTTGCAGCTTTATCTAAAAGTACGTTCTATGTCCGAATCAAATGGTTCAATATTGTTATCTCAGGTATGGAGCATACAATGAACACCTTTTATTTGTAATAAAAAATAATAAAAAATCAAATAACAGTTAAACATAAAATAAATTAAGACTAAAAGTAAATAGTTTCCGGCAATAGCTCCAAAAACCCGTTACACATTTTTTCTGTAGCGACCGAGAATTTTAAAAGATATAAAGTTATTTTCTTGAAAAACGTGTCACTAAGTTTTGACCCTAAATT